GAGCAGCCCACTATGTTTTGTGCTGTGCTCACCACCCTGTGTAATGTTTTTCTATTCGCAGCTGTCAAACCATCATGCCATACCGTGATGCAATAAGTGATCCAGTGGCAGATGGAAAAGGGAAAATCCAAGTCAGTCCGCTTTTTGATAAGGATGCTTGGCAGAATGGTATTGAAGGCCAAGCTATAGTCTATGAAAAGCATCCTGACATAGTTCCTGGGTGGCTCTGGATGGATCACTAGAGAATGTAAATCAGTAGCTATGGCATTATCTCTTGACCTATTCCCCCTCTAGGCAAACTGATGTTTCTTAAAGTCCAGTGGAAGGCATAAAGAGCCTTGTCAGGCCCCCTGCTAATTGATCGGCACAATTATTTACCACTATCCCCAGCACTCCATTGGGCCTGCATCTTTGCTAGGATTCACAACCTTCAATACAGCTCTCACTTGGTGTTTGTAAGAAGTGAGTGGTTGAGAATCAGAAGGCCGGCAGAAGCTACGGGATTTGGTCTTTTCACTTTGGAGTGGGTGAAGGTGTTCAACTCTTCCACCAAGGAGGAGTACCCCAAGGGTCAGTTTTTGGCCCAGTACTCTTCAACATCTTCATCAATGATTTGGACGAGGGGATAGATGTGGAACTCTTAGAGTAGTGTGATGGTCTATAGGTGGATCTCCAATCTCGCAATCCAGAGTTCAATCCTAGGTAGAGGTTGATATTTCTCTCTAGGCACAATGAGAATATATCTGTTGAACAAAACTCTGCATTGGTGATAGGAAGGTCATCCAGCCAGTAAACATTCAGTTCCTAAAGCTATGGCATGCAGAGCCTCTCTCTGGGNCCAGCGGAAACACTCTGAGGAGAAAGAAAAAAGACAACCAGTTCCAAAATGGAGGAAAAGCTGAGATGTCTGGATATTCCAGAAATTTTACCACAAAAAGAGGCTCCTTAATTGAGAAATGAAGAGGGGAAATGGCATTTCATCTCTGACAGGAGAAAATGTGAAACTAAGAATGGAAGATGGCGAAAAAGGAATATAAATCTGGTTACAGACTAACAAGGCACCTTGTAAATCATCTATTCCAATACCTGCCCAAGTAGACCCTACACCATTTTTGACAGATGGCAGTCCAGTCTCTTCTTGAAAGCCTCCAGTGATAAAGTTCCCACAACTTCCGAAGGCAAGCTGATCCATTGGTTGATTGCTCTGTCAGAAAAATTCTTATTTCCAGGCTGAACCTCTCCTTGTTTAGTTTCTATCTGTTCTTTCGTGACTGGCCTTCAGGTACTTTGGGGAAGAGCTTGACCCCTTCCTCTTTGTGGCAGCCCCTCAAATATTGGAACACTGCTGGTCCTTCTCTTCACTAGACTAGCCATGCCCAGTTCCAGTAACTGTTCTTCATATGCTTCAGCCTCCAAGCCCCTAATCATCCTCATTGCTCCTCTCTGCACTCTTTCTACAGTCTCAACTTCTTTTCCATAGTGTGGTGACCAAAATGGGATGCTGTACTGTAGGTGTGGTCTTACTAAGGCAGTGATGGCAAACCTTTTAGAGATCGAGTGCCCAAACTGCAACCCAAAACCTACTTATTTATCGCAAAGTGCTTTTGAAATATTACATTTAGGAACAAAAAAGAAATTTTTTTGTAATATTTATCTTTCCCTCCCTCTTTTCCCAATTTCTTTCCCTGTTTCTCTTCTTCCCTCGTTCCATTTCTCTTTCCTCCATCCTCTTCATTCCCTCCCTTTCTCACTCACTCCCTTTCCCTCCCTATCTGCCTCTCTCTCTTTCTCTCCCTCCCTGTCTTTGCCCCTTTGTGCCCATGAAAAGACTCAGGGGAAAAAGAAAAAATGGAGAAAAGGCTGAAACTTTTGAATATTCCAGAAATTTTACCTCATAAAGAGGCTCTTTACTTCAGGAATGAAGAGGGGAAATGGTGTTTCATTTCTGACTTGAGAACAGAGGAAATTACTAAACTAAGAAAGGAGGAGCGTGAAAAAGGAATACAAATCTAAAATATGATTAGGAAAAAACAATTTTACATAGGGATTGAGTAGGAAATTCAAGAGATGTGACTAGGAAGCTTAAGCCCTTTGGGGAATTTAAGGTAGGGAATATCATGAGACCACAAATAAAAAGAGAAAATGAAAAGATTTGCCCACATTTGGAGTCGACAATGACACAAAGGGGTTATGTACAATGAGCAAAACAAAATTATTAAAATGGTGTAAAATTGGTTAAAAAATCCATTCAAAAGAATGGAAGTGACCTTTGATTTTTCTTATGTATTTATTTCTTTTTTTCTCTGGTTTCTCATAGACCGTTTAATAAGCAATATTTGAAAAAAACTGGTTCAACTCAGCAAGAGCTGAAATATGCCCCCCCCCCGCCATCCAAACACTTTGGTGTGTTAGTAATTTTTAATGCAATGAAAAAAAGAGAATTGCAGCAGAGTAGACACACAGGACAGCGCTCAGCAACTTGAACACAGTGGCGAGGTCACACTGGAAACCACTGGAGAAGGGGCCCTGTCAGACTGGTGGGAAGCCCTCCAGAGGTCGTAGATCTGGGCCTGCTCACTCCATTTCAGGCAGGAACAGCCATGAAGGGTGGCTGAGAGCAGTGCTATCAGGCGGGCAAAGTGCCCCCATGAGTCCTTCATTCTAGAGGCTGCAAGCAGTGTGTCAAAATGAAAAGCAGGATTTGCCTGTCATTTATGTTTTGGAAGGAAGATAAAAAATAACCCTGCAATATGTTGCCGCCATCGTGCAAACCCCAGCACTGGTAATAGCAGCTGTGCCTTTCCCCTTCCAAAACACACCGGGATGTGATCTGAATAAAACCTGGCTTGACATGCTTTTGAAACACCTCCTGGCTCTTTCCCAAAGGGAGAGTAGCTGTTCTCTAGGTTTTGTCGCTTACCGCGGCGCAACTGACGGTAGGTGAGTCCCACTTTTCACACTTGACATGCTCACTGCTTGTTTGCAGCAACTGGGACTGCTGTGGGTGGCACAGGCAAAGGCACGGGACTGGCTAATCTGTATCCAGCAGGCACTGGAAGCACATTTTGGCAAAGAGCCGGGAAGTATTTCAATAGCAGGTCAAGCCACATCTTATTCAGATCACATCACGGCGTGTTTTGGTCAATTGATAAAGGAAGTCCCATGTCATATAATATTCAGTGTGTTCTTTCTCCTTAATTGAAAGCGTTAATCTATTCATTTCAGCATTCTAATATTTTCCTAATCACATTCTCTGTAAGGATCTCTTCACTTTTCCAATTTTCTGCAAATACATTTCTAGCTGCAGTTAATATATAATAGATAATTAAATATGCATTCCACTTACTATATTTTTCAGGTAAAATCCCCCAAAAGAATATTTCTGGCTTTAAATCAATATGTTGCTTTATCATTTTTTCCCAGTCATGTATGTATTTTTGGCCAATATTTTTTTGCTTTAGATCATGTCCACCACATATAATCTGACAGCCCTTGCAGCATTTAGCCGACTTCTCTTTAAACATCTTTGCCAACCTCGCTCGCGCAAAATGCCACCTATAAACCATCTTACTTTGTGTGTATACTTAGGTTATAGCTATTAGCAAAGGTCTTTCCACACTCCATGCATTTATATGGTTTCTCCCCTGTGTGGATTACTTGATGGGAAATAAGTCTATTTTTTTTGAGTAAAGGTTTTTCCTCACTCCATATATTTATATGATTTCTCCCATGTGTGGATCATCGTATGGGAAATAAGATGACCACTTTGAGCAAAGATCTTTCCACACTCCATGCATTTGGCTTTTCCCCTGTGAATCTTTTTGTATATAGTAAGTCTATTGTTCAGAAAAAAGGTCTTTCCACACTTCATGCATTTATATGGCTTCCCCCCTGTGTGGATCATTTTATGGAAAATAAGATAACAATGTTGAGCAAAGGTCTTTCCACACTCCATGTAGATTTGTAGATTTATTTATTTATAGGCCGCCCTTTTCCCTGAGGGGACTCAGGGCGGCTTACAATCAAAAAAGGAAGGG